TGCATATGATTAAATTAAACATTTTGTGGAGCGTGCAAATCCAAATTTTTTTGCGAGAAGGAAAAAAAAAAGACAGAAAGGGCAAGCAAGCAAGCAACAAAACAAAGGACCTGAAAAACATGACTCGCTTGGATGCCTAGGCGTGAGGCGTGATAATGTAGAGAAAAGATGGAAGATTGTGTACTGGGTAATTCCAGAAAACTTTAGGGGTCCAAAAGTGTGACATTTTGTGCCTGGTCTTTGTTATTTGACGTGAAAATATCACCGGAATCGATTTCAAACTATTACTATTTGTTTGGCAGGTAATTTGCATTAATTCATCACTACTCTTGGATATTAGGAAATGTGTTCTAATAACAAAATCATATGTCAGAATTTGACAGGGACACGAGAAAAAAATGGACCCCTAATTTCTGTATCTACCTTACTATAAGTTGTACGGAACAATTGCTAGCCTATATTTCTGCACTTTTACCAACGATTCCTGCATTAATTTTGTACAGAAGCTCCTATAAGTGGTAGGTCACTTACCTTGTTTGGAAGCCATGACGCGTTAATTACGCCTGCAGGTTGCAACTGGAAAGGAAAGAAATATCAAAGAAGAGTAAAATGCACATCTCGTTGAAAGTGCATGTACATGTCCCTTGGTTACATGTAACAGTATTCAATCACTGCCTAGCATGGTTGGCACGATTAGTCTTACGGGCCACTGTGGTTTGTGTTTATGTGCCGTCGATAATTCTATCCGGTACATGGTCAACTGAGTTCATAACCTGAGGGATATCGACATTTTGACATCGGGATTCTAATGAACAAATTAGAATCAAGCTTTATTCCAGGTAAGCAGCAATTAAGAATAGAAGGCCGGCCCTTAATATACGAATGTGCAAAAATGGATGGCAATACAGTGTTACCAGCCCATCATTTCCTTTACCAGACTCTCATTTCCTGAGTAAATGTATTTTATGCTAAAATGTGCTATGAATTATGTATTTTGCCTTACTTGAACAATGTACATCAAGTTCTCCCATAATCATATCAGAATTGAGGCCCACCAACTTTTTTAGGTATACTTGTGACTTTTGGAAGATAGAGGGCGCCCTCATCTTGTCTCATTGACATGTCATTAAAAGTCAATGAGCAAAGTTTCTGTGAAACAAAAAAGGTCTAAAGGAAATCTTCCGTTTTCATCTCACAGGTATGTACTTTCCACTTTCTGTTATCAAATATGGGATCTTCATGTATTCAAGTTCATTTAGAGCTCATTATTTGTGTTGGAGATTGTCTAATATTAAGGATTGAAACAGATTGAAAAGGGAGTGAAAGTTGTATCTCAGAGCATGTGACAAGCACATTGTATGTATTGCACATAGACATTGAGGATAAATAAGCACATTCCTCAAATGACATAAGATATTTCTTAGATTCTACAGAGATAATGTTAGTAATTTCTATTCATTTAAGATCAGTGCCTCTCTCTCTTTCTCTCTCTCTCTCTCTCTCTCTCTCTCTCTCTCTCTCTCTCTCTGTGATTTTGGCCAAGTAGTAATGATAAACAGGGTTCTGCCACCATCAGTTGGCGCGGAGCGTACCTGAAAATTTTTGGAATCTATAAGCCCCCAGATGCCCGGAAACAGCACTTTCTGGGTGTTTTCAGCGGTGTATACACAGCCTAGAATTAGGGATCTCATGTCTGAAATTTCTGAAATTTAATTTAAAAAATTGGAAATTTGTAATTTTGGTCAACTAGGATGAGGTGATAATTTTAGAC